TACAATGCAAGTGTCCTCTTGAGGCAGCCACCTTTGGAGATGCGCTCTGTGTAAAAACGGAAAGGGCTTGGCTACTGTCTTTGGGGTTGACGCAGCTGATCTCAGCTGATTTGTCTCTTGGTAACTCTCCAGGGATGTCAACAGAAGAAGCTGACTTCAGTATCCTCAATCACTAGGTGATTGTATTTTTATCTGCAGTATCCGTGAACTGAAATACATCCATTTACATTATTCAAATGAATGATCGATCATCAGACAAAGGATCTGAAAATGTGGAACTCGGGAAGTGAGTGAGAAGAGACCAGGAAGCGGTTCCCAAATCCCCAAAAAAGAACTACAAACAAATGGGGGAGAAGCAGAATGTGAGTTGGTGGGAATCTTCCTAACTCCACTGATTGAGTTGGAGGCTCAGTCGGAGGACGAAATCCCTCCCAATTTTTACCTGGACCAGCCCACTCACCAGTGAGCAATAGATGGGTCTCTTTAAACTTATGTCCTGTGTTACTAAACTTTAAACTACAATACGTAAGACATGTTGGGGGATGGATTAAGGCTTTTTCAATCTCTCAGCACATGAAATTTCCTAACATCCCATATGCTTAATAATCCCAATGTTTGCTTTTCCTACTACCTTTATGCCTGTTACCCTTTCCATGAAGCTGTCTTTGCTAATATCTGCTCTGAATTTCTATTTCACTCATTTCAATGTACTGTATTCTCTCTGGTCCTACTTTCCTGCTTACTTTGTAGTAGTCCGGCCTTACTTTATCTATATAACTTATTACATGAAGTTTCTCTCTCCTGCTTAACTTTGTTTGTTCTAGACTGTAAGGGTCCATGTTTTTCGAATAGTTTTTCATAGTTTCACTTGGGCTCTGTCTTGTTGCTCAATTTTTATCAGTAGTGAACCAGGGCTCTTAAATGTCTAAAGTGGCCAGTGCATTGATCTTGTGTGGACATGGCTGTTGTATATGGGTTTCCTTGACCAATTGAGCTGGTGATTCTACCCGAGTAATGTGCTATGGCATTGATTGCCACTAAGGAGCTGGGCTGATAGAAGAGAGGAATTGGAAGGTGTAGAGAAGAAAGACTAAACCAGAGATGAAGTCCATCCACACCCTTTCATAGACTTGAGGTGCACAGTTTAGCAGGCTTCAACGAGGCAAAAATGTTGATTGTTTAAAAAGACTGCTGAGAAGTATCGTTAAACTGTTGCTGTTAACATATTTTATAGTCTTGTAAGATTTACAGTTTGTGTGGCTGTGTTGCATCTGAGTTTACAGCAGACATGCCTCTTATAGTAATTCAACAACTAATGCCTTAAATGCTTTGTGGAAAATTCTGTCTTAATATCGTGTCAGTTATTCATTCCCAGCTCATGGTCATTGCTGAGCCACTTCAGTCCCTTTCCTGATCTTTGTGTCTGTGAGCCTGTGTACGTGCATTCCCCAAGTGTTTTTTCTCATAGGGGAAACTGAGTTGTATTGGCTTTTTAATTCCTGTACTGCTCTTCCCACTCCTGCTGGGAAAGCAAAGCATACAAAGCATCTTAATGATACAAGCTGCCTTTGCTTTGTGCTCATGCTATACTTTGTTTTCTCTGTTAACCCTTTAGAGGGATTTAGGTGCCTAATTGTAGCTATTGAATGGTGAGGTTATTTCCCACAGAGCAGATATTTATTTTCCACTTCATCCCCCGGCGCCCTCCACACATACACACACACCGAGACCTCCATTTTGGATTATAGGGAACCATCGATTGTCCTTTTTGATTTGTTTGCAATGGTGTGGGACCTTCCTTTAGTTTTTCTTAAATCAAATGGTGGTGGTTCACGCTTGCACAGGATGCTGACTTGCTTTTTCTCTTCAGCTCCCCTTCTTCTCTCACCCTAGGTAGCCTTCCTGACAGTCGATATATTGCTGGGCTGCTAGACTTGGACAGTGCTGGATTCCCACTGCTCACCCAATCATTCATTCTTCGTGTGTGAGCTTGTGTTGTGGACAATTAGGGAATCAGACAGAGGAGAGAGAGCTCACCTAGCTAAGGCTAGCCTGACCCTCACTGCCTCACTGGACCACTGTTTACTGCAAATTGAGAGTTTGGGAGATCCAAGGCTCAAGTCCAAGGATGTGTGTTACACTTGTGGGATACCCCAGTGAGATTGGGGTGAGAGAGAGATGCAATGGGAGGGAAAGAAGTTTTATGAAGCTAATGTAAAAATCAAATGAATTCAATGAGTTTGGCTCCCAAACTGTTGTTTGTACATTTGGCTAAAAAGCTGAGTTGAGTTCCCAGGGTCTGTGCCATATACGTGAGGTTCCCTGCAAGAGGCTCACGATGTCCCCAGGCACTTTTTCCAGCGCCAAGGTGTCATTCCCACTGCCGTGTTTCTAACTAGCACTTTGTTAACCCCCAGAACCTCTGTTGTAACTGTGTGACGTTGTATAGTGTACATCTCAATGGAAAGCCGGAGCTTTTGATGTGTCGTTTTGAATTACATTGCTCATTAGGCAGTAGTGCTTTAATAGGTTACTCAGATGTAATGTTTTTCCATCCTTTATTGCTTCCAAAAATTGAAAATGCATATGCTAAATTATGATTCAATTTGAGGAACCAGTTTATAAATTTAGTTTATGGTCTTTGCAGTGGCAATGTTCACACCTTGGGACATCCTTCCGAGGTAAAAGGCAGTATATAAATGCAAGTTGTTGTCGTTGTGATTACCCCAGCATAGCCTGGGTGCACATGTCATTGACTTCCTGAACTTGCCTGTGTTTGTGAGGTAACATAGTCAAAACTAATTGTTCAAAAAATTAATTTATCCCCCCCTTTTTCTCCCGCAACCCAGATTTTTTGAGGATGTTAAATAACATCGCAAATTCCTAGAACATTTGACCTCCTCTCACAGAGCAATCTAAAGATGTTTCCATCTCAAACTAACATCAATCTAATCTTACAACAGACACCTCATAAACAGCCAAATCCGCACGTTTATAGCTGATGAACTTTGTCCTGCTTAAAAAGAAAAATGATGGCAGGTCAGCAAATGATGATTTATAAGAGGAACATTCCTCACTCCAGGCACTTGCACATAGGCTCCTTTGTTATACTTGGCAAGCCAGCAGTCATTGAGAATATCCTTATCCTAACCCCTATTGAACCGGATACTCTGTACAGACATCAAGATCCTATTAAAACAGCCTGGCATTTATCAATAAAAAATTAACATGTATTGCATACAATCAGACATTTCCTGAGGGTTTTGTAAACATGTTTACACAGGTCATTGTTAAGGCATAGTCCATAAATTCTTTTAAAAGGAAATTATATAGATGCTTGTAAAAGCCTATTAAATTTAGGATATGGAGAACGAAGAGGGGAGCAGGGGTTAGATTAGGTCAGAAAGAAAATGGTTGAGTTTTAGAACCTCAGGACCATAGAAATTTATGGCACAGAAGGCGGCCATTCGGCCCATCGTGTCATTCGCATAATAGGCCATCAGAGCCTCTCGGCTGTGTTGCATTTTTTATTAACCAACTCCGCCACAGGTTTGATGTGCCACATGACCTGTTTCTATAACATTCTCTGCTCGCTCAGTAGTGATCAGTCTTATCGGTGTGAAACTGAATCATACATAGCGGAAGGTAAAAGCAGGGAAAATAGGTTGTAAATCGAGAATAAATTTAAGAATTTTCCATGATATGAAACAATCTTAGATTTTCAGACAAAATTGTCTCACAGGCCAAGACCAGATGGAAGTTCGGGCAACTGATTTCTATTTTTTTACCTCCTGTGAAGCATACAGACCAAGATTAAATTAGGATTGGGCTAAAATAGCCTCCACTCCCTCATTAATAATCCCTCCAAAACAAAAAAACAATAATAAATTGGTCATTTTCAATCCATGACTGTTCGTGGGACACTGCTGTGTGCAATTGGCTGCCAGGTTTTGCCCACAAATATACAGTCAATTCACTTTATAGCATATTCTGTGAAGTGCTTTGAGACGTCTAGAAGACGTGAAAAGTGAAAAGCGTTATGTCAAATGCAAGGATTATTATTATTATTATTACCTGACACTCAGTCTAGGGCCTTACACCCAAAAGGATGGAGGTGAGGTAGTGCAACCAAAGAAAAATTCACCTCACTTTCAGAAAAGAGGGAAAATATTGGCAGGGGGTGGGGGAAAGAAACGCTACTCAAAGTGGCAAATAAAACAAATAATGCAACTAATGTTCAATCAAGCTCCACACAAGATATTTATGGTTAGTTTCAATTAAGATGCGCCTGATAAAATGTGGTCAGTAATCCTTGAGTGAGACTCCCCAATAAATGTACAACACAGCTGAGAATAATAATAATAATCATTTTTGCATTTCATATAGCGCCTTATCACGCCATTTTCAAAATGCTTCACAGACTATACTGTAAAGTGGATTGACTTTGTATTTTGTGGGAGAAACATGGCAGCCAGTTGAGCAACAGCAGTGTCCCACAAACAGTCGTGGATTGAGTGAGCAAATTTTAAAAAAATATTTGAGGGATTATTACCCTGAAAAGCGATCCACCAATCGACTAACAATCAGGTTCCTACTTACTGCAAGGTAAATGGAGGCGAGTGGAGTATCGAAACGTGCCTCAGTTTTTGCCCTGCCTGAGAATCAAACCCGGGTGCTCTCGCTTGCGAGCGTGCTAACCACTAAGTTACCGGTATTCAAATAGTTCCCTATATTACAACCAAAGACTTGGGAACACGTCACTGACTTTGTGATCTTGCCTGTGTTTGAGGTATCGCAGTCAAAACTAATTGTGCAAGAGTTCATTTATCCTCCCTTTTTCCTGTTCTCTCTTCCCCAGAGGTTTCACACTGATTCTGCTTTTACACTCCCAGATGATTATTTTACATTGATGAGCACTGTAAAATACAAGGAAGTTTTTAAATTGAGTGCCTTGTGTGTTGATATTTTTTTCATTTATGCTTCATTCTTTCATCCTCCAGGTCCACTCACGAATGGTTCCTCAAATGGATCAGTCTCGGTCCCTTCACCTGAGCCTACAACGGGAAGCGGAAAGGAGGAGGGGTCACATGCTTCACAGAAAGGAGATGGAAATGATGCCAGCTCATCTGATTCAGAGGAAGGGCCAGTCAGGAAGAGGTTTGTGATGTTTAAATGTCTTGCCTTGTTTGGAGTGGTGAGATATTTCAAAGAACAGTCAACAACCCATAGCCACACCCAACTAACTAGTACACTTTAAGGTAAGCAGACAAGACTGGTAGCAGGGATAATTAAAGACGCATTGCCGGTTAAATTGTGGGACTTATAAAAAGATTCTCAAATGTTGATTCCTGTTTGTCAGGATTCAGATGAATCTCTTATTGACCCTTTGGAACTCTGCTTGGATACTGATCTCCTGCTGGCCACAATCAGGCTCCACAGAAATTGGCGAAGAACTCAGCAATCTGGCTCGGTGGTGTAAAGCGCGTCTGAGCACACAGGATCAATAATTTACCAATCGTTTTGCAACTCCCGCACATTACACCCGATTGACGAATTTGGACATGCCACCAGCAATTTGACTGTCTTTAAATATTAAGGTGAACAAACAATTGCTGTGTTTGTGTTGCTGGGAGGATGTGTGGTGGCGTTATGCAAATGTTGCTATCCCCATCATAGGACTGTGGCATCTTAGGTTATTGCAAGTTTCCAGCAGAACAGTGGACTCCAGGAATTGTTGCTTATTTAGGAAAGAAAATCACAGTAATTCTTAAACAGTAAATGCATGCCTGCGATGTTTGATTTCAGGAAAAGTTAAGAAGCAGATTTATAATGAGCTAGACGTAGTGTAGTTTGCAATGGTGACGTGCATTGATTTCTTCAGGATGTGCAATTATACAGTCTGAAATCGAAATGAAAGCTTTACGTGTGTGGTGCTGTAACTGCAGAAGCTATTCTGGCCTGTCCACAGTGGCATGGATGAATTAAAGAAAGTTGCCTTGTTTCACTGTCTACTGCAGCACACAGCTGTCAATGTTCAAGTCAGCCTCATTACTGTGTGACAGAGGTATTTATAGTTAGCAGATGTGAGAAGGGGAGAGAAAGAATCTGCAGTGGTTAAGTGCAATATTCAAATGTTTGCTTTATTCAGAATAACACCCGGATCTGTTGGACTCGCTACAGGCACTCTTGGAACAACGACTCGCTACAGGTGTATATTGGCACAGGGACCTGGGGATAGGCAGACTAGACTCTTTGTCGGCTCTGCTTTGAGTTGTGTCATTTTGCTGCTTAACGTCTGTTGTGCTAATTGGGTGTGTTTAGATGTTGGTAGCTGTTGAACTGGAGCGATGATTGTTTAAAATCTGAGTATATTATTGTTTGTCTTATACAACAACGCCGACAACTTGCGTTTACAAGGTGCCCTTCTACACGTGACAGCATCTCCCAAGAGTTTAACAGTGTCAGAGCCCGATGCCGAGCTGGGGGGAGGGAGGAGGTGATCATAAGAATGGTTGAAGAGGACAAGGCAAGGGACAAGACAGAGTCCTGTAGGTCAGTGGTTAGAGCGCTCGCCTTGCAAGTAAGAGACCTGGGTTCGATTCCTGCAGGGTGAAACCTTAGGCAACTTTTCTTACTCCACACGCCTCCGCTTACCTAGCAATAAGTGGGAATCCAGTTGTTAGTCGATTGGCGGATCGCTTTTCCGGGGTAATTCCTTCCAGAAAATATTAATTTGGTTACTCAATCCATGACTGTTTGTGGGACACTGCTGTGTGCAAATGGCTGCTGTATTTTGCCCACAAAATATACAGTCAATTCATTTTATAGTGTATTCTGTGAAGAGCTTTGAGACGTCTCGAAGACATAATAAGGTCCTATATCAAATACAAGAATTAGGATCATTATTATTGAGGGAGAGAGTTCCAAAGCTTCAGTGCATAGTGGCTGAAAGCGCGGCCGCTGATGATGGAGTGAAAGGCACGAGGGACAAGCAGACGGCCAGAGCCAGTCGAGCGGAGACAGAAGTAAGCAGAGTTGGGAAGTAAGCAGGTTGGAGAGAAGTAGGGAAGTGCCAGGGAGTGAATGGATTTGTAGACGAGTGAGAGAATATTGAAATTGATTTGTTCTGTGATAGGGAGCTAGCGGAGCCTGGCAAGGACTGGTGTGATAAAGGTAATGAGTTTAGTGTGGGTGAGAATACGAGCGGCAGAGTTCTGAATCAGTTCTAGTCTGTGGGGAGTGAAGCTGGGGAGATTGGTGAGGTGGGCATTGGAGTAGTCGAGGAGGAAGGTGATGAAGGCGAGGGTTTCGGCTGCATTGGGATTGTGCGGCCGAGGGTTGGCTGAATTCTCTTTCTACCGCCCGCTCCCCCAGATTGCAGGGTTGCCTGTAACGCCAGGCAGCAACGCTGAATGTTTAAGTCCAGAGAGTGGAGTCCAAGTTGCTGTGCAGTGCACAGATGCCAAGGGTTGTATTCCAGCCTGGACTCGACTGTCTCCGTGCAGTTAAACTCAGATCTTCTGTCTTTTTGTTCTTTGCTGATTTTGAGTTTGCTTTTTATATTGCTGCCAATTATGGCTCCACGTTCTGATGTGCAGCTTTCCATCACATGGTGGATGATTTGTTTTGTTTCTTTTGCTTCCTCTTTCCTACCTCTCTCCTCTTTTTCTCTTTCTCTCTCCCCTCCCACCCAGACAGTGCCTCATGCTAAAGTATAATTGCTCAGGCGCTGACAGACCTCTGAGTCCTCACCCCAGTTCCCTGAAGCATGACAATGAGTGACGGCAGCCTATTCAACCATGAGACTGATTTCGATCCTGCCCTCACATGGCCCCTCTCCAGGGGATGAGGGGTTGCGAGGGGGAGTATAGCTCCTGAATAGCTCCTTGCAACAGGAACTCTGTAGTTGAGATTTTATTCCCCCTCCTCCTCCCTTCCCATCCAACCACCCAATCAGGAAGTGCCTTGGGCAATTTTGCTCCTCTTTCCATCACCACTTCCCTGACTGACGTTGGCTAACTCGGCACAAAACAGTAATTGAATTTTGGTTCTCACAAGGCTCAGTACACCATTAGGCTGGGCGTGTATTGAGTGCACCCTACAGGGAGCTTTACTGTTCTGTCTCTTTCCCCCGCCCTACTCTTTATCCTCCCCCTGCTCCCGTGGGTAACATGTCTCCTGGATCACCTGCTATTCTTGAGCTAAAAGGACACCTGTTTCAGGGTTATTCTATATCTCTTTAGGATCAGCAGTTAGGGAGTTTCTCCTGGTGTCCAGACCAACAACCCCCCCCAGATAAAACGCCATGGCTTTTAGTGGGAGGGTCATTGTTGTGTGAAAATTAGCTGCTGTGTACACCTACAAAACACACAGTTGCTGCACTTTACTGTATATCCTGTGAAGCACTTCAAGAAGTTCTCCCACTGTGAAAGGTGCTATTGGGAAAATGCCTATTTCCTGTCTTTCCCAACAGTTGAACTGAGTTTAAAAAAAATGTGCTCGCCTCAAGTGTCACAGTAACTTTGTCACCTGACTTTGTCAGTGTTTGGCTGAGGACGATGTGCCAGCAGGTCCACCTGCTGAATGTTTCAGCTACCAATTGCGTTGCTTTAAGTGGAGGGACATTGCAGGGATGGGGGTTATTAAATGGCTCTATGAAGTGCTGCTAACATGCAAATAACGACGAGCTGGTTTTGTATTTGCTGAGGCTGCAGTGGAGCAACAGCTTGTCTCCATGAGTTTGACCTGAGCTGGCAGATTTCATTCCATGCTTTTACATTTTTAATCCATTTTAAGCTGCACAAGTCCTACATAGCTGCTAGTTAGTGCAGCACCTTAACTCGTGTCAGTACATCTAGTCTTTCATATTACACAGAAGAATTAACAGGTAATGCAATTCTATTTCTGAATATTAAGATGAGTGAACTAAACTGAGGGCAAAGGATTTGAATAAACTGAATGATCATAGTGAACCTAAAGGAGAATAATTCCTAATGTGACAATGCCGAATGTTCACTGAGTTTGCTGAAGGTGAATACCTATCTCAAAATATCTGTGTAGTGGTTGTGTAGATAACTTCTGATTAAGACATGTGCAACTAATTGCCGTATAGTTCAAAATGTTGCCATTTAGGATAGTTATTTGAAGCCCAAATTGACTAAATTCAAGTCAGAAGTGACAATGACGCTTGTACCGAGACCTTGGTATTTGTCTGTTCTGGGAGAGAAAAAAACCTGGGTGCTTGTGTTCACTTTCTTTTGAGTGTTGAAGGTATCCAATTAACCCTTTAGACCATGGGAGAAGGTGTGACATGCTCTTTACAGCGTAGTGTTGGTAAAAGCCTAAGGTGAATCAACCAATAGTCATTCCTCATGAATGAGCCAAACAGTGGTTTGAAAAGCTCCACTGACCAAAGCAGTAATGCCATGGGTGTCTGATGGTTTTTGGTGCCATTGCTTGCTGAGCCTTTACCGAATGATCCATTGCAAGAGCCTGCAAAGCGCTGTGTTGCATGAAACAGAAAATTGCATCTCTGGCTGGGCAACTGCAGGAAATGCGGGCCAACTGTGGAGTCCTGCAGCTCAGTGGTGTGGAGTCCTGCAGCTCAGTGGTGTGGAGTCCTGCAGCTCAGTGGTGTGGAGTCCTGCAGCTCAGTGGTGTGGAGTCCTGCAGCTCAGTGGTGTGGAGTCCTGCAGCTCAGTGGTGTGGAGTCCTGCAGCTCAGTGGTGTGGAGTCCTGCAGCTCAGTGGTGTGGAGTCCTGCAGCTCAGTGGTGTGGAGTCCTGTAGCTCAGTGGTGTGGAGTCCTGTAGCTCACTGGTTAGAGCACTCACCTTGCAAGCGAGAGACCTGGGTTTGATTCCCGGCAGAGTGAAATGTTGGGCAAGTTTCCTTACTCCACATGCTTGATAATAATCCCTCAAGAAACAAAAACAATAATAAATTGGTCGCTTCAATCCATGACTGTTTGTGGGACACTGCTGTGTGCAATTGGCTGTTGCATTTCTCCCACAAATATAGTCAATTCACTTTACAGTATATTTTCTGAAGCGCATTGAGACGACTAGAAGACATGAAAAGCACTATATCAAATGCAAGGATTATATATATATTATCAATGAAATGGGTTTGAACACTGATCCTAATCCACATTGTAATC